GGGGCTGAGCACCGGGGGGGGAGCTGCCCCGGTTGGGGAGTGCAGTGCCCTCCTGGCTCCCCAGGGACCCGTCCTCGTGACGGGCAACGGCTGGCGCTAACAATAGCGCGTCAGGAAACGCCGCGTTCGGACGGTGCTTCCTCTGCAGCCACGCAGCACCCCGAGCTGGTTTGCTTTGCTCCTAACGAGAAATGTCCAGGAGATTCAGCGCTGCGTTTCCAAGTGCTCCAGGTCTGCCTTTCGGTTTCCGCACCCGTCCCAGGCAGATTTTTCCCAGCCTTGCGATACACACTAAGAGCACACGGCTGAGCCGCGCTTGCTGCAATTGCTGCCCCATGGTTTTGCTTTCAGATTCCTATTTTGTTTGGTTTCTGCTGGGACCGGGGTGGGGAGCATGGAGCTGGGCACGACCCTTTGCAGCCCGGCTGCTCCTTTAGCTTTCCAACCGAGAGAGAAGGGATGTTTGCAGGTTGGATGTTGCAGGGGCGGAAAATGGGAAAACAACTGGCGATTCCCCTTGCACCCTTCACCTGAAGCCTGATAGCAAGGTCACGGCCAGAGAGGGGGCTCTGGGTTGAACTTAGGGAGAGGCTGTGCCCCCCATGCCTCCCGGCCACCGGGATCGGGGGGCAGAGCTCAGCGTTTGTCCTTCGTGTCCCGCAGGCCCAACAAGCCAAATTCCTCAGCGATGCGGAGAACGAGCTGGAGGAGTTGGCAGTCACCATCGCGCAGGCCAAGAAGATGGTGGAGCTCATTAAGGTGACTCTGCGATGGCTTTGCTCCGTTAGCGCAGCTTGTCCGGGAAGCGGAGGCGAAGGGGCTGTGAGCTTTTGGGGTGCGTGGGGTGCAGAGGTGGTGCTCACAGGGGAGCAAGTGCTCCGTAAAACGATGGTGACCCTGGCAGGGATCCCTGAGGATTCTTGCTCCTCATCTCTGCTTTTGTTTGCAACCTGGAAGGAGGAACGGAGAAACGACCGTGCCAGGGCATCCGCTGGCTCTTGCACCTTCTCTCCCCGGGCTGACGGGGGTTTTGGTCCCCTTTGGCCCTTGTGCAAACACGTCACTTCACCGCCTGGGGACACGAGATGTGGTGGAGCAGTAAGCGGCTGTGCCCCTGACACCTGGGTTGTAAAGTGCTCTGAGCTCTTGGGTGAAGGGGGCCACAGGGTGTCAGGGGGACCCCACAGAGCTGAGAACTGGGTGCTGGGCAGGGGACAAGGGTGCTCTCCCGTGCCTGCAGGAGGTGACCCCGACCCCTCTCTCCCTGCGCTCAGGGTGCCGCCACCAAGGAGAGGGAAA